TTAGGGTTTAGGGCTTAGGGTTACAAGTCTTGGGGGTACAAGCTTAAAGTTCGGCGTTTTCATTTATGGGAAGCAAGTCCCGGTGTAGCGCTCCGAGGTTGCGTTGGGGTCACAGAAGAGACAAAGCTCCAGGGCCCCTGCCAGCGCCGCATGGGAGGAGTGCCGCCCCTGGGTCCGGATGCACTTGTGGCTTTGGGAGGGAAGGGGGCCTCGGATTTTGGGATTTCGGGGGTTTAGGGGTTTAGGGTTTAGGGGTTTAGGGGTTTAGGGGTTTAGGGGTTTAGGGGTTTAGGGGTTTAAGGGTTTAGGGTTTAGGGTTTAGGGGCACTCTCGGGTTCTGTTTCAGGGCTTTCGAACTTAGATGTCTGGTTGAGGACGTGAGGCTTGGCAGCTTTGCAGGTTTAGTACAACCAGACCCGAACCAGAAAGCCCTAAACAGTCTAATATCAGTATCATGATCATCAGTATGGCTATCAGCATGAACAGCCGTGGTCATATGTGTTAACTGTTTCTCTGACAACTTCTTCCTGTTTTCATTGTCAGATTTAGTATTGTCCTATACCCCTGCATCCAGTGCCAGTCTTCACTGGGACCCGTGCGTGCTCGCGGCCGTGCTGACCTCGGAAACCAAGACATTCCGTTAATGCTTAGGGTTCCGGGTGCAGGGCTTACTTAGGACTTGAGGCTTATTTAGACCCCCAGGCCTGCTGAACGATATAGGCGGGCTAGGTGGAGATCACGAAGCTCACCTGACCTAAAGATCTGAAACTCTAGTCCCCGAACCCTAAACCCAGGAAAAGAGTCCTCAACATCAGCCCTGCACGCGGGGGGCACTTAGCTTTTTGTCCCCACGGCGCTCCTCGGATCTTTGCAGAGGGAAGCTGAGACTACAAAGGGGGGCCCTTGAGACAAAGAAGCTGTAGTTCCTGGTTTAAGAGTTTAGGGTTCTACGGTTTAGGGTTCTAGGGTTTAGGGTTTAGGATTCAGGGTTTAGGGTTTAGGATCTAGGGCTTAGGGTTTAGGGTTCAAGGTTCAGGTTTTAGGGTTTAGGGTTTAAGGTTTTTGTAAGTGCAATGCGCCCCTTTTCTGTGCGACAGCAGAGCACTCTCCGGGTTTAGGAGTTTAGGGTTCTGGGTTTAGGATAGAGGGTTTAGGGCTTAGGGTTTAAGACTTTCGGTTTAAGCTGAAGGCTTTCGGGCTTTCTGGGAGTGTCCTCCGCACAGTCGCAGAGTTGCTTTGGGCGAGGAGCTGGTGCCGTGGCATCATGAAGAACATCCAACCATAAGATGTCCAACAGTTTCATGGTATATTCAAGTGCATTTAGAAAGACAAGGAATCCTATAAGAAACACCATTTCATACTTGGGTATGCACAACTGCAGGGAACCCGAAGAAAATAGCATTCATATTGGTGTCCTAATAATTAGAATAGGGTCTTCGGGGTATATTATATTCTAGTGATAACAAGGAACCACCAACATGACACATTGGTAATTTATTTAAGGCCCCTATACTCTCCCTAACCCTGACCATAATCATAATAAGGAACCCCTAAAACCCTCCTGATATTGACCCTAACCCTGACTGTAATTATACTGTAATTATAATGAATAAGGAACCCCTAAAACCCTCCTGATATTAACCCTAACCCTGACTGTAATTATACTGTAATTATAGTTAATAAGGAACCCCTAAAACCTTCTGATAGACTTCTTGAATTATACTGTAAATATAATAAGGATTATACTGTAATTATAATGAGGAACCCTAAAACCCTTATGATAGACTTCTTGAATCATATTGTAATTATAATAAGGATTTTACTGAAATGATAATAAGGAGCCCCTAAAACCTTCCCTAACCTTTACCATAATCATAATAAGGAGCCCCAAAAAAACCTGCTGATAGACTTCTTGTCCCGTGGTCCCCCAGAGCAGGTTCCTCAAGCTTCACTTCGGCTTCGTGGAACTTCCAGCCTGGCAACGTGGGGGCCTTAGTAATTAGAACAGGGTTTAGGGTTTAGGGTTTAGGGCTTAGCAATCAGAATGGGGTTTAGGGTTTAGGGTTTAGGGCTTAGTAGTTAGAATGGGGTTCTGGGGCCCATTTTACCATACTCATCATAAGCAACCCCCGGACTAGTATAGGTAATTATTTAGGCCCCTATATTACTGGAAAGCTTTGGGCTGAGGGCCTGGAGTTGGGGTGTTTTTTGGTTTAGGCTTTGGGGCTTCGGGCTTCGGGCTTCGGGCTTCGGGCTTCGGGCTTAGGGTTAAAGCATGAGGGCTTTGGGTTTAGGGCTTTGGGCTTGGAGTTTCGGAGTGTGACAGGCGAACGGTAGGTCGAAACCTCCAGCTACAAATCCCCCTTAGCCCTGCTTCCGTCGATCAGCCAGGAATCTTCCACCTGGCCTCTTTAACATAGCTACCCCGAATGATCCGCCCAAACGAGGGCAGGGTTGTACAAATTAAGTAGGGCTGTTTCGTGTTTTTAAGAAGGGCTCATTGCAAGAGTAAGGTACGCTGTTGGGAGGCATTAAGGAAACCCAATCTAAACAAACCCTCTACGTCACTCCTCAGCCCTCAAGCGTGGGGTCGCGGCCCGGAGGCTGGAATCTCGTGCACAAGCTGCCTGAAGCTGCACGGTCCCTTCAGGCATGCCTCAAGCGAGTGTGGAGGGCATGGAAAGCTAAACTGTAAAGCCGCGGCGATATGCTTTTGAGTTCAAGATTTAGGGTTGTGGGTTCAGGGCTACGGTGTAGGTGTAGAGCTCTGGGATTAGAGCAAAGCCAGGTCGTGTTGGACGATGAGTGTTCGAGAAAGCATTTTCTGATGAAAATGGCAGTCCTTGCCTACAACAACATCGAAACGAGCCATTGCAAAATGTTGAAGTCATGTTGTACACGCAGGTTGTAAAAGCAGGGCTGATGACGGAACAGAGTCAGAGACATTAAGCTTTACGCGCTCATGACGAACCGCGAGGACTCGCCGATACATGATGCTCGCGGAGTGGTGGAAATGGCGTCGGTTCGGATATGGAGCTTTGGCGGTTTCAGGTAAAAGGATATAGGGAACCCAGGTTCTCAACGATATCAGCTCAATGCCTTTATGCCCACAAACCCTAAACCCTAAACCCGAAACCCGAAACCCTAAACCCGAAACCCTAAACCCTAAACCTTAAACCCTAAACCCGAGACCCTATACCCTAAACCGTAAAACCCCGAGGAGCCCAGGTCCCCACGCCCCTCGCAGGCCCCAAACCGTAAACTGCGAAACCGATGCGACAAGAACCCAAAATCTCCAATCCGAAGCCCCATGTCGGAAAAGATCAACCCCTTAAGCGCAAAGCCCAAGCTCCAAACCCTAAACCCTACGTAAGCCGCCCGGGTTGCCTTGGAATCGGCACCGGGCAAGATGGACAAAGTGCCTGGATCGGGACTGGGATGGTTGGCTTCAGGCTTTAGGCGTCGAGCTAAGGGAAACCCCAAAACCGAAGGCGCCCTTTCTTCTCACCGGCAGAACCCGAGCTGCAAGCGAAATCTTGCTGCGCCGTGGTGCGACTCCCTAAACCTTAAAACACCCTTCACTGGCACAGTGACTTTAAGCCCGCCCTGAATGGATTGTCCAAGACTCTTCGAATCTCCGAATCATGCTCAAATCCGAAACCTAAACCCCAAAAGCCTGACACCCCCAACCGCGAGTTCGAAACCCCCAAACACTGAAACCTAAAACCGCCAAGCCCTTCCTCCAACATGGAATTCCCCTTCCCTGGCCTCAAAGGCTGCGCCTACCTGTCCGTGGGTTAAGGCTCAGGTTTTACGGTTTGCTGGAAAAAGTTCAAGATGTCGTGGAAGTTGGGTTGTAGTTAGAGGACTCAACACGAGCACGCACACCTTTCGTGCGACAGGTTAGCTTGATTCCCCGCTGACGATTCAGGAGTTGATTGGAATCGCATGGCGTCGTGGAGTGCCTTGCCATGCACGATCCACCGGCATGCAAAGTCGGTACGATGCACGAGACTGCTTGGCTACCTCGCAATGAGAAGCAAAAGCAAGATGGAAACTTCAAAAGGACCGATCGGAACACGGAGCTCGTAGTGCGCGAATTACTGGCTGCTGCCTAAGCACTCGAACCGGAACCACTTGTTCATGAGTCTTCACCGAAGGCACGATACAGAATGCAATTGACAGAGAATGGAGAAGCGGGCCAAGGCAGCTTCTCAAGAATGGAATGCTCGAGTGTTTGAGCATAAGGATTTGGTGTTCACAAAGCATTAACAATTGCCGGACGTCATGCACAGGAACAGTTTGGGGCATGTTCACTTCTGTGCACCTTAGACAATTCAATACTTCTCTCCTGCTTGGAACGAGAGAAAGCAACCAAACCGTACAACATATGCACAACCCACTCGGCTCCCATGTAGAGCAACAGCGGCAGCCTCGTCGAGTACATCCGGCGCCACCATGGCTCGCTTTTGCTTTCGGAATGCCTCCTGGTGGACCCTACTATAGCTATACTAGGGCCCTCCAGAATACTAGGTAAAACCAGTCCGGTAAGGGGAGCATGTACATCAACTGACAATCTAAGACCTTGACTTTCACCCTGCACATGTAGAGACCGTGAACCCTGAACCCTCAACCCCAAACCCCGGAGACCTAAACCCTAGAACCCTTACAGAAGCCTTGGAGAGCGCCCTCAAAGATCCATGACAGTAACTTTTGCAGTACCCCCACCCCACACCCGCCCCGTGAAAGTTGTGGTAATTGGAACCGTCGCTAGGCCGCTAGGCGGCGAACAGGAACACAAAGCAGTAAACCCCCAGAGGCCCCAGAGGGTATACAAACCCATTTTGTGGAGCATCGTAATCATGTAGCAAGACAAAGGTATGTAAGAGCAGCGTTGCGTTGCTTCGTGATGACCGCTATGACATATTCCGAATTGCTAGAACGCAACGCCTGGACCACCATCGTGAACCTCCACATGCGCGGTTTGCAGTCTCTCCCAAGTCCGACCCCTCAAAGCTCGTCTCAGCGCAGGCGTGTCCGCTAAACCCGAAACCCCAAATGCCAAACCCTAAACCGTAAACCCCCCCCCC